TCCACCCTTTTTCCTAGGCCTCCACCCACCCAAGATAAATCCTTTGAACATTTAACAACCCCTCCATTATGAAACTCGTCTCACATTTGGTTTATTCAAAGTGAAAAAGAAAAAAACAACACGAATAAACCACTTCTGGCTGCTCCACAACCCATGGCATCATAAAACAAGAAGGACTATGATGACAATTAAAACCAATTCACTTTCAACTCCGAATAAGAGGGAACACACACACTACAGGCTGTCTCACCCACTAATTACAACTAAACATCCTGGAAGGAATTTTTAAAAAACCACCTAAGGACTATACAAAGTAAAAAATAGTAGTCAGATTGGGGAGCCAATTGAAATGTGAAGAAAGACTATTTCAATGGTGAGTTTATTGTTTGTTTTATTTTTCTCTCCCTCATATATCTCCTTAAAGTACTTAAAAGTAACACACACACACACACACACACACACACACACACACACACACTCGCACCAAAAGCATAAATAAATACAGACATATACTTTGTTCCTGGTTCAAAAAGGGGGTCTTGTTAAGAAGCCAATTCTCCCCAATTGGTCTATAAGTAAAATTCCATCAACATCCAAGCAGAATATTTTGTAGATATGCTGATTCTAAAAATCCATGCAAATGAAAGGAATGAAAAATAAAAACAAGTTTAAAAGGGAAGAACAAAGTTGGAGGATTCACACTACTGGGTTTTGAGACATTATTAAGCTACACTAAGACAGTGTGGTGGTATGGTATTGATAGAAAAGTATGTCAATAAAATTGAAGAATAAAATAAACCCACACAAATAAGCTCAATATTTTCTGACAAAGACACAAAAGCAATATTGGAGAAAGCACAATCTTCTTAACGAAGAGTCTGCATCAACTGGAACATCTATATCTACATAAATGGACAAATAAATATACAAACAAATAAATAAGAACCTCAACCTATATTTTATACCTTATACAAAAATTAATTCAAAATTAGTCAGAGACTTAAATGTAAAATATAAAACTATAAAACTTTTAGGAGAAAATATGGGAGAAATCCTCTGTGACCTTAGGTTAGGCAAAAATTTCTTAGACATAAACTCAAAAGCACAATAATAAGACAAAATATATAATTTGGGTATCAACAACATTTTAAAGTTTTGCTACATGAAAGACATTATTAAGCCAGTGAAAAGACAAACCACAGACTGGGAGAAAATATTCACAAATCACATATCTGCCAAAGGACAGCTTTCCGAATATCTAAATGTATAAAGAATTCTCAAAACTCAACGAACAATCCCATAAAAATAGGCAAAAGATGTGAGCAGACACTCAACCATTCAAGATATAAAAATGGCAAATAAGCACTTGAAATGATGGAACACAACCTAGGTCAATAGGGAAAATCAAATTAAAAACGAAAATGAGATATTCCTATACCCCTATTAGAAAAGCTAAAATAAAAGCATTAGAAACCACTGACAATTACACGAGCTGGTGAAGATGCAGAACAATGGAGACTTACACATAGCAAGTGGGAGTACACAGTATCAACCACTTGGAAAACAGTTTGACAGTTTCTTATAAAGTTAGCATACATTTGGCATATGAGCTAGGAATCCTACGGCTGTGAGGGAATGCTTACACAGCAGCTCTACAGTAATTGCCAAGCCTGGATGAAGTTTCTTCAGCAGATGAAGAGATAAACAAACTGTGGTATGTTTATGAGTCAGAATACTATTCACTAATAACAAAGAACAAGCTATGGATATATGCATCATCAATGGTTTTCAAATATAGAAAGTTAAGCAAGGGAAGCCGGATTCAAAAGGCTACATATTATATGATTCCATGAATAAAACATTCCGTAAAAGGTAAAACTTCATGGTCAAAGAACACATGAGTGATTCCCTGCAATTGGAGGTGTGGGAGAGGTTGGCAACTTAGGCGCCAGCATGAGGGAACACTTTGGGGAAATAAGAATTGAAACTGTTCTGTATCTTGATCCTGTTGTACTTCATCACTTCAGGCATTTGTCAAAACTCACAGAACTGTATCTGAGAGTGAGTGCATTTTTCTGTGTGTAAATAAAAAAAAGCAAACATTTAAAAATGCTTTTTTAAAATACAAGGTCTCCAAGGTCAAACACACCAGGCTCAAATCCTAGTACGTTCATGTCCCTCTGTTGTGACCTTGGGTGAACCCTCCAGTCTCTGCATCTGTTTCCAACTCAAAAGAACTAAAGCTAATTAACTTAGGAACTAGGGTTAACAACAATTGCTTTGTTTTCCAGGAAGAAAAAACTGGAGTGATGCTACAAAATAAGTCTCCCCCATTCATACTGGGGATATATGGCCCCATCAGGATGGGCTGAGATGACACCCACTATATGGTTAGAGGCTCCCAATTCTTCAATTATACAATGAGGCAACTGGATTAAGTGTTTTAAAGGCCATTTCTAGGAATAAAATAATTATATTACAGTAAATGCTTTGCTAACGTTGGGTTTAAATGTATCTCTTCATTTCAAAATTTTCTAAATGTGCAATATATTTGTTTTTTGCTGTCTTTGTAAATTGTTTTCTAATACCAAGGCTCAAATATTTCTGGTGTCTTTGGCTTAGTGTTATTTAAAAAACAGTACAAATTAATTCCTGTTTGTTTCTTATTTTTTTAACTTTACTATATTGTGAATTGCCTGTTACTACTCTTTAAATATTTTTCTGCTGGGCATTTACCTTCTAGTGGATATTTGGGTGTAGACAATGATTATTTTATTTTGCTATTTCCTTTTAATATTTAATTTCATAGTTTGAAACAAAAAAAGTTAGATTAGGATACTAAGGTATTTCTGTTTTTACACACACACACACACACACACACACACACTCCCCGTCCATGGGAGAAAAGACATTATATCTGATTTGGAAATTACCACCTAAATAAACATCATAGTAAAACAGTAAGTAATAAGCACATTCTCAACATATTAAGTTGTCACCT